GCGCCTTCTCTGCGTGGCGACGGCGCCGACGACGACGACGACGCCGACGACGACGACGCCGCCGACGACGACGCCGACGACGACGACGCCGACCACGACGACGACGGCGAGGGCGAAGATGAGTCGGGGAAGCGTAAGGCTCGAGCTCGCCAGATCTTGGGTTTGCCGATATTCTTTGACGGTCCCGTCCTGAGTGTTGGCGGTCCAGTTCTCGTGGGATGCTTGCAGCGGGAGCTCGCGTCAAATTTCAGACGGTTTCGTAATTTTCCTGACGGCCCCGTCAGGCCAGCCCGAGTCCCCCGAACCTGGGTCTTATGTCTTACGGCGATGGCGAGGATTCGTCGTCGTCGTCGGCGTCGGCGTCGGCGTCGGCGTCGTCGTCGTCGTCGTCGTCGTCGTCGCGGGGGAGGCGCTGCCGCATCCCTTTCCCTCCTGCCCCCTCTTCCGTCGAGCCTCGAGCCGCGGGCTTCTCGCGCTAGCCTGATGTCCTCCTCCTCCTCCTCCTCCGCCGCCTCCGCCTCCTCCTCCTCCACCTCCGCCTCCTCTCCCCTAAGGAGGCCCCCAGAGACCTCGGGGAACTCGTCGTCGCTATCGTCGAGGACGGCGACGACGACGCCCTTTGGGGGCCTCCAGGGCATTTTTTGTTTCCCTACCAAAACATGTTTAATAACATGCTTCGACTTTCCGATTTTCGGCCAATCAGATCGGGAAAGCAGAAGGCAGCCCATGGCAGTGCGAGACGGAACCGAACCGGAAATGGCGCGAGCGAGGATCCCAAAACGGAACATCGTACTCCAACACGGGAAAACAACGTCGATCTTGAAAAAGAAGAGCAAACGCCCCCCAGCGTAGCATCTAAGGAGCCGCCTCGGGATCCTGGCCGAAACTCAGGTGAGGCCACAGGATCTTGGGCCAGGCTGGCCCAATGTGCTTCCAGGTTTTCGCGCTCTTTTTGAGACCTGCCCGACCTGCCCGTTAGGGTCCGCCCGCCCGATCCACCCGTCTGGTTCTGCCGCTTGTACGCCTTCGCGGCACGTAGGGAAGACATACCCCAAAAGGGGATACGATCGAAGACAAAGAGGGCGGGCCTCGAGGTTTTGGGACGCGAGCAGATAAGAGCGACCCGTCTTAAAATTATGGTTGCTGTTGTCATCGTCCTCGCTCGCGACCCCCCCGCGACCCACCCCGCGACTTACCCGCGACCCACCCCGCGACCCTTCCGCGCCCCACCCGCGACACTCCCCGCGCCCGCCCCTTCACTCTTACCCGCAACTGCGGGGTGCTACGTCTATATCTGTGCATATCAGTATAGGTGTGTATATCTATGTATATGTTTGCGTATACATATATGTGCATGTTCATGTACATACATTTGTCGATGTAGTGTACGTATATTTATATGTACAGGTTTAGGTCTACGTATGTGTATATGTACATGTGCATTATGTGTGTATGTCGATGTATAGGTAACTGTCTATGTCTATGTGCATCTCTGCCTTGTACATGTAATCACATTGTTGTAAACATATTGATATGCGTGCATAATCTTACGTCTGAGGCTTTTGTATCTATATGCATTTGCACATGTGTATGTATATGTATGTGCATGTTTATACATCTATGCATGTTTATGTGTATACTTTGCGTATGTGTACGCATATGTCTACGCATCGAGTTTTGCACGTGTCATTGCATACGTAAGTGTACATCCGTATGTATATGTATGTGCTTATGTGTATATGCTTAAGTTCATGTAACTGTTTACATGCACGCATCTGTATACGTACACGTCTAGGTCCATGCACATGTTATATAGGTGTTCGCGCGCATCTGCAGTTCCGTGCATAAGTTCCACCAGTTGTACATGTATATGTTCATGCACATGGATCTGTGTATGAATATGCATATGCCCATGTGTAGTATGTTTATATATGGACGTACATGGTTATGTTTAGGTAAACGTAGATGCGTATGCATATCCAATGCACGTGTGCACGTACATGCATTTGTCCATGCATGTGTATATTCATATGTATGGGTAAATGTATAGATATCCACATGTACATGTATGCGTATGTGCAGATGTATATGTCTGTTTACCTGTATATGCATATGTGTATGCATCTGTGTATGCGAACCTGCGATATACGCATACCTAAACATAGGTGTATGTGTGCAGTCGTACGTCCATGCATATGTCTGCGTCCATGTATATGTTCATGTATGTGCAGTGTGTCTTTATGTACACGTTTATATACAGGCATATGCATCTGCAAACACACATGCATATGTATATGTGTACGTATATTTGTAGTGCATGTGTATGTATGTGTATACAGTTCCATGTACATACATACTCATATGTATATGTGTATGTTTATAGTGATGTGTATGTTTATACGTATTGATAGATGTATGTGGGCATATGTACATATGCACATGCACATACATATACATACAACTACATATGTCTACATTTACATGCATGTAAATTTGGACGTGTATGCGAATGTTTGCGTGTACACATATGTCTATATGTACATGTGTGTGCGTGTCTGTGTATATACTCACATATATATACACATACGTGTATGTGCACACATGATTGTATATGTATACATACATGCGCACCTGTATAATATACACGCGCACACATGCACATATGTATATCTAGGTGCATATGTACATTCATAAGCAGTCATATGTACGACTATATGTGTTTCTATATATATATATATAGAGAGAGGAAACATGAGAGAGAGGGGGGGAGAGAGAGAGAGAGAGAGATCGATAACAATAGATATAGATATAGATAGAGAGAGAGAGAGAGAGACAGAACAACCACTTCCTTCGCTCCATCTCGCCACAGTGCTTGGCATGTGGGTTATAGGATGTTCGTTGGGATGCTCGTGGCGATGTCGCGGGGGGCCTCTCGCGGGCTTTTTGTGGGCCGCTCTTGCTGCTTTCGTTCTGCCCTTTTTTTGTCCCTGGCGCCGACGCCTTTTTTTCTCATTCCGTCGCCGTTTTGTTGCCTGGTTTTTCTGGTTCCCATCCCATGGCATGTGTTTTCGTTTTCCGTTTCGGCGATCCGTTGTTGTTGTTGTTGTTGTTGTTGTTGTTGAACATTATTTATTCTAAAGAATAATTATTGTTGGGCCCCCTGGTGCGCGCCCCCCCTGCGCCGCCTAGGCCGCAGCTACATTTTCATAATTTTCGTGAGGAAGCCTCAGAAAAGAGGGTGTGTACAGGATCCGGTTGTTTTGTTGTAATCCGCTTTCCCTTGCAAAAAACAATAGAAATGACATTTCTTGTTCTAATATAATCAAATTTCAAGAATCCCTTGCAAAAAATAAGGTAAAGTGGACATTCGCGCGCGCAAGACGAAATCCTTCCAAAACCTTAGTGTTCGCAGCGATTTTAACATAAAAACATCAAAAAACCAATGGTTTTTCAACAAAAAATTGTCAAAATCTCATCCCGCGCGCTCTTGCGGATTCGTAGGAAACCCAACACTTTTTAAACATTTCTGTCAAACGGGCTTTTGCGAGCAACTTTTTCGAACTTCTGCGACAACGGTTGCGCACCTGCCAGGGCCATCATCCCTGTCAAATAATACCATGCGGGACACATTCGTTTTTTCTTCGCGCGCGCACGCCGAAATCTCCAAAAACCATTGGGCTTCTTAAGAATTTTAGCACCGCGCATCATAAAATCACACGAATCGCACCGTAGGTCCTCGAAAAACACCTGCACGACTTTTCAAAATTTCTACCCGCGCGCGCTGTCCGAATCCTAAAAAAAACCAATGGTTTTCCAACATTTATGTTACATGAGCTCGCGCGAGCTACTTTCGCACGCTCTTGCAACGGGGTTCGCGCGCCTGCCAGGGGCCACAATCCCTTGCGGTTGCGCCATAGGTTGCGCCCGTGGGCCCCAAGAGGATCCGGCATCGCTCACAACCATCGGGACAACCATCGGGACAACCATCGGAACAACCATCGGGACAACCATCGGGACAATCATCGGGACAGTCATCGGGACAACGATCGGGACAAGCACAACCATCAGGACAACCATCGGGACAATCATCGGGACAACGATCGGGACAACCACAACCATCAGGACAACCATCGGGACAACCATCGAGACAACCATCGGGACAACCATATCCTCTCTCTCTTGTGTATTCCCACATCCCTCAGGAATTTGCCCTAAAGATGTGATCAACTATCTTGTGAGTACGTATCATGTGTATCATGTGTATCATGTACCATATGCATCATATGCAACAGATGTTCTGTGGAAGGCTTAACAACTTCTGTGGGTTAACAAGGCTTAACAACTTCTGTGGGTGTACGAACGTAGGCTTAACAACTTCTGTGGGTGTGTACTCCACGCCAGTGTAGTAGCCACGGTCGTCCGCAGGCCACGAAGTGAAGTGTCCGAACGTCATAGGGCGGGAAGCTGGGTGTGGGTGGTGGCGAAGAGTCGTGTGGATATTTGGTAGAGCTTGCACTGCCCCCCCACAAAGTGGGGGTATTGGCTGGCGTCGCATGAAAACCCTGGCACTGGTGAGAACACTGAGCGTTCGGGTAAAGTGATTGTTGTTGTTGTTGTTGTTGTTGTTGTTGTTGTTGTTGTTGTTGTTGTTGTTGTTGTTGTTGTTTTGTTGTTGTTGTTGTTGTTGAACTCTCAATTCTGAAGAACAATTATTGTTGATTCCCCCCGTCCGGTGCACACTGTTTTTTCATTGAAGTGCCCTTCCCGGTGCTCGCACCCGGTTTTTTATCAGAGAAAGTCTTGAGGGTCAAACTGTGTCGTTGGCCCCCGGTTTACAACAACAACGGCCACTGAGGGCAGCAACGGGGCCACGAAGGGCAGCGAGCGAAGGCGACCGCGGAACCAGTACGGGCAGCGAGGGGCATCGAAGGCGGGCGAAGGGCAGCGAGCGGCGACTGCAGTCCCTAACGGGCTGGTCGGGCGGGCAGGTCCAGACGGGC